TTAAACCATGCAGTGTTCGTTTGCTCTATTTGGACAAGAGCATCTTGGTCTAGGTATATGTTTCACATAAGCACAATTAAGTGTTCCAGAATATTCATTCTTCTCAATGTTAGTCATAGTTTGTTATGATCTACACAGTCAAGTGTCTGTGAATAGTCAGTAATACACAATTAGACCTGGTATTGTCTACTTTCAACCAAGGTCTATCTGACATCAGCAATGATATACCTGGTGCCACTGACTCTTCTAAATCGAGCTTGAATTTCTGACAGTTCTGTTGTACTGTTCTAGTTGTTTTTAGATAATCTTCAGAAAGATTTTACTTCATATATTAGTGGTGGTGATGTTAGGTGCTGTTGAGTTGAGCATGACTCATACCAATCCTATGAACAAAATAATTTGAATCCTGTTCTATCCTGTCCCATCCTCACACTTTCTGACACACAGGAGCCCATTGCAGTCAGTCACCACGTCAGTCCACCCAGTTGAGCTTCTTCCTCTACTTTGCTGACCCTCCACCTTTCCCAGCATTATGTCCTCCAAGGAGTAGCCCCTCCTAGCAACATGCCCCGAGTATGTGAGGCGAAATCTCACCATTTCTGCCTCCAAAGAACACACTGGCTGCACCCTCTCCAAAATATGTTTGTTCTTTCTCTTGGACGTCGATGGGATGTTCAGTGCTCTTCTCCAACACCACAGCTCAAAGGCATCAGTTCTTTTTCTGTCATCCTTATACACTGTCCAGCTCTCAGATATATAGCAAGTAATCGGAAAGACCATGGCCTGAATCAGAGGCACCTTAGTTCTCAAACTGACCTTACCCCTTAATAATTTGCAGAGGTCCCTAAATGCAGATTTCCCCAGTGCAATGTTTCTCCTTGTTTCTTGACTGCTGGCACCAAGATTGCTAATTTGGATCCAAGCAAGATGAAGCTTATATTAGTGATAACTGTCTCATAATTTCCACATTTTGTATAATCACCTTTCTGGGAATGGGAACAAATACGGATCTCTTGCATCAGTTGGCCACATTTCTTGTCATCAACAGGTTTGTTGAAACTTCAATTAGTATCCCATAAATTCCTAAAGCCTTATTTCTTGCTGATGCCTTCAGTTCATCTTGAACTTCCTTTATCGCAATTGGTTCCTGAAATGGTTGCATATCAGCCAGGTCTCTTTGGTAAGATGACTGTATCTTCTCCATCTTCTTTTGATGGTTCCTGGGTCATTCAAGATCTTGCCCATAGCATCCTTCAGCATCACAACTGGGGGCTTGCATTTGTTTTTCAGTTCTTTCAGCTTGACAAATGCTCAGTGAGTTCTACCTTTTTATTTTCTATCTCCTGCAATTTGCATGTTGTCATAATATTTTGTCTTTTCATGCTACCCTTTGAAATCTTGTTTCAATTCTTACTTTGCCATTTCTTCCCTTTGTTTTGCCTTCTTGACGTTCTAGTGCAATTTTCAGCCTCTTCTGACATCCATTTTGATCTTTTCTTCCTCCTTTGTCTTACAGTGACCTTTTACTTTCTATTTTTATTTCATCCCACAGCTCATCTGATCTTTGATCACTAGTGTTTAGTGCCTCAAACCTATTCCTGTGTTTATCTTTAAATTCAGGTGGGATAGACTTATGGTGTATGTTAGGTCCTGTGAATTTGCTTTTAACTTTTGCATTCCAGTCACCAGTGATTATGATTACTAATACATCTTGGTTGCATGTTCAGTCTATTTCAGGCTATAAAAGTTATTAGAAGCGTTTCATTTTCTTCTTTTTGTCTTTAGCAGTTGGTTCATATATTTAAAAAATACTTATATTAACAGGCCTTCCTTGTATGTGTATGGATAGCATCCTATCACTCACAGCCTTGTACATCCATATGGATCTTGAAATGTTATCCTTTTTTTTTTTTCAACTTTAGACATAAGGAATTAATGGAGGTAGGGAAGACTGAAGCACGTCCAGCCAGGGTGTTTGGTTCCTGGGGGCAGGTCCAGTTACAGCAAAATAAAACAGGGAAATGAAGGTGTGGGCAGACAGCAGATTTGGTCTTGAACGGGAGATAGAAAAGTGATGCTCCTTGAGCCTCAGGAATGGGGAGCAGCAGAAAGAAAGCCATGTCTGAGGGGGGCCCTGAGGACCCAGAGGGGAAAGGGAAGCAGCTCCCCACCCCTCAGTGCTGAGAAAAAGGCACTTGGCTCAGTCTCCTGCCTGCATCCATCCATGAAGCAGATGGTGGTGCGTCTTGAATCCCTGGCCCCTTTCAAGGGCCCTGCAGTCGCTCCTGGTTGAGTTTCTGGAAAAACCTTTTGCCAAACTCATAAGCGCTGATCATGATGGCACAGGAGGGGGCAGCCTTGATGATCCTTGGGAGGAAGCCTGCAAACAATCCCTTGGTCCCTGACTCAGCTGGGATCCGCAGCAGCAGCAGCTATGTAGATTCCACACGTGGAGGCCTCACTTTCACAGCCTCCATCGCTTCCAGCTGGACCTGGTGCTGAGTCTTCACAACATCAAAAGGCAGAGTGAGGATGGCTGCCACCGTCCCTGAGATCCCGTCAGCTATGAAGCTGATGCCCACAGATGTCTGGTCATTTGGCCTGGACCCACTTAGCCAGCTCTTCACCAACTCATAGTTGAACCAATATAGAGCCGAGAAGGGCACATCGCGAAGGGCAGTGGGCCTCCAGCCCAGCCACAGAGAGCGCCAGCCTCCCTGAGCCACTGCAGCCTGAACAGAGGCCCTCAGCTCTACATGCTGAGCCTGCAGCTTCGTCCGCACCAGCTCAAGGGGGCTAATCACAGTCACTGTGCCCAATTGGGCCAGAGTGCCAGCCACCATGGGTGCATAGAGGTCAGAGGTCAAGCTTCGCCCCCACAGGAAGGTCTTGAGTTGGTCATTGGCGGTGAAGTAAATGGCGGTGGCCAGCACAGTTATCACCAGGGTGGCTGGGAGATCACTCCAGAGGGTCCTGGTGCCTTCATGCCTCACAATCTTTACAAAGGCATCCATGGTGCCAGGGAAGCGGGTGGGATCCTGAAACCAGGTGGCACAGTGGGCCCCATTTGGGCATAGGTACACTAGCTCCAGGACTCCATTGCAGTAAGGAGGCACTTCCCAGAAGGTTGGAGAGGGGACGACAGTTTGGTGTAGGAGATGCTCCACAGTCTAGAGGGAGGTGTTGGCTCACTGGCTCCTGAGGGGCGCTGGGACTGCAGACGCACCTTCACCACTTCCAGGGGTGTTATAAAGAGAGAGGTGACTGCTGCCCCAGTGCCTGAAGCCACCATCTGCTGGAGGAGGCTAATGCCCTCGGGGTCTTGGTCAACCATCTTTAAGTTTCGATCCTGATTCTAGGCCGGTGCTCACGCGGCTCGGGGCCCGGGTCAAGCGAGCCCATAGCGGCTCCACGGCAGCAGCACCGACCCGCGCCTTCTCCTTGCAAAGAGGCATCAGCAGCGAAATGTTATTTTTTTATGACTACAACACCATTCTTCCCAAATTTTTCATTCCCATCATAATAAATCATGGGATTATCTGATTCATTGTGGCCAATACCACTCCATCTCGGCTCACTAGTGCCTAGAATATCCATCTTTGTGCATTCCATTTCATTTTTTTTAAGACCTCAAATTTTCCTATAGTCATATTTTGTATAGTCCATATTCCAGTTATTTAATGGACGTTTGCAGCTGCTTCTAATTTTGAATGATTTCTAACCAGGAAGATAGATGGGCAATATCTTCCCATCCAATTTACTCCCATGGAAACCCATAGTATAATGTTCCAACTGAACTGTAATCATTTTTCTTCTGTAAGTTAGAATCTGGTGATAACAGTGGGTTTGGTTTTATCATGCTTAAACTTTCTGCATGTTTAATTTCATTTTCACCATCCCATGATGTAGTCTGATATGACTTCCATTTTATAGGATAGAGAATTGAAGACCACAACGACTTTCAACTGGGTTCAATTTCAGCCCTGCTTTGTAAATGGCCTGGACTATTAATACCTCTTTACCCAGCCCTTAAGAATCTTGACATGGGGGGGGGGGGAAGAATCAGACATGGGGGGTTGGAAGGAGAATAGAATAAAAGTGGATTGAAGAAAGAAAGAACTGGCTCAAAAGAATATGTGATTAGGCATTATATGTACAACAACAGCCCAGAATAAGAGGTATATCATGACAAAGAGGAGCGGGGTGGGGTAGGTAATTGTGGAACAATGAATGATTATTTTAAAAACAATGTGAAGGGGGGGAATATAGGGAGGGAGTCAAATGTGCAACAATGAATGAATGAAAAACATAACTTCTCTGTAAACGTTCATTAAAATCACAAAATAAAATTTTATTTAAAAAAAAGAATGTTTTTCTTTTGCTTTCAAAGGAGAGGAGCAAATGGGGGGAGGGGAGAAGGGTGCAACAATGAATGAATGGAATCCCAAAATCTCTGTAGATGTTCACTGAAATGAAAAATAAACAACCTAAATTTAAAAAAAAAAAAAAGAATTTGCAAGGGAGCTCTGGTGGCCTAGTGGCAAGAAGTTGCGCTGCAATCCCGAAGCAGCTCGGTTCCAAGTCACCAGATGCTCTGCTGGAGAAGGAGGGTTAATCGCCTCCTGTGCCAGTCGGATCCCATTTGACGGTATAAAACAAGAAAAAAAAAACCTAAAAAAAGAATTTGGGACTTGGCTAAGTAACCAGAGATCCTTGGGCTTGGCGTCCTTAGCAACCGTATGGAGGACGCACCTGATCAGGATTTAGCGATATTAAGGAGAAAGTTTTCCAAAGCTGTACCAAATCTGGAACTCAGAACACAAAATCAGAGCCCAACCCATTCTTTTACTGAAGAAAAAATGTAATTTAAGAGAGTAAAAAATAGCAAAGCTGACAGCTGACCGTGGAATGCGAATAGACCACGTGATAGAGCGGAGCCGACCAGCTGGGTTTTCCACAGTTTCCGGCGGGCGGACTCTGCCGGGATCCACTTGGCGGCACCCCGCCCATCCCGGAAGTACAGGCGGAGCTACTAAAGCGCCGCATCTGACTGAGCGGAAGAGGCTGTTGGAGGCGCCAGGGTAACTTTAAATTTACCGTAGTCTTTGGAGCTTGTCCCTTTCTGCTTTGGTCGGAATTCGCGACCCCGATGGCTTTGGACGTGAAGTCACGAGCTAAGCGTTATGAGAAACTGGACTTCCTTGGAGAGGGACAGGTGAGGCCCTCGTGCTGAGATTGGAAGGCCGGGAGGGGACCCCCTGGAGACGCCGCCCCCCTCAGGCTTGCGCGTGGTGGTCAGACATCTGGCCTGGTTGCAAATTCTCTTTATTTATACTTAGATATAAGCCTACAGCAGCCTTCTCCGCCCTAAAGAACAGACTGAAGCAGTGTGTAGAGTGTCTTTCCACGTTTCTGGGCGTCCCCAGATGAAAGACAAATTCCCACAAGCTCGTATTTTCTTTTTCTCTAGTTTGCCACAGTTTATAAAGCCAGAGACAAGAACACCAATCAAATTGTCGCCATTAAAAAAGTGAGTTACACTTTTATTTAGGTCGTTTTCTCTCAAGTCTTTTGTAAGATGTCTGTTTTAAGGAGGATGTCTAATTTATGGGATAATTTTTAATGGCTCCTCGTAAGAAGTTATTTGTATCATTTGCAGATTTAATAGAGTTAGTGCATTTGTTTTCCAAGGTGGAACTCGGAGATTTAAGTAATTTGTTGTTTATTAAATGAAATTGACATGAAAAGCTGTATGTTTGCTGCATAAACTTGGGTGTGCACTACAGGACAATTACTGCCCAACTCTTTGAACTCATTTATTTTCTCTTCACCACCTTCATGAAAGTTTTTCACCAGCAATAACAGTAATAATGAGGGGATTCTGGTTCCCTAATGGTAAGAAGCTGCTCTGCAGTCCCAAAGGCATGTGATTCCAATCCACCAGCTGTACGATTTAATACCTCTGAAAATCCGCTGTAGAGTAGGTTGTAAGTCGTTTTCCGACTTAAGGGCATCCAGGATAGCAGTACAGCATATCACCCATCACCAACCACTCTTGTCAAGGTCATGACAGGGTCATAACAAGGACCTTCTTGTAGCACCCTGAAGTCTCTGCAGCTGTTTGATGATTATTTCTTATATTTGTCCAGTAGCAGCTGTATCTCATTGTTAAAAAATAATCATTTTCCAGATTTATTTAACCAGTTACTTGTTGATGACCTGTGTGATCATTTTTCCCTTTTAACTAATTGTCTCAAATAAATTGGCATTTATCTCAATATAACGTTATTGTATACTTTATTTAGTACGTATTCTTTTCTTCACATTTTAGTTTTCATTTTTATTTAAAATACTGTAGACATATAAACAAGTATATAAAACAAAACAAATAACAACAGCCAAAAAAAACACCAAACTAGCAAGAACGCAGTATTTGTGGAGCTGGTCCTCGCTCACGCTGGCCGCATGTGTGTCACGGCAAAGCTGGGCTCCACACACTCTTCAAAGACTCGTTTTCAGGAGCTGATTGCCACGATTTTCTTCTGAGGTGCCTTTGGATGGACTAGAACCTCCAGCCTTTTGGTTAGCAGCCACACTGGCTATCCCAGAGAGTGGGCCTTCTTATCTTATCATGCTGTTTTATGCTGTTGAGGCAACTCTGCTTCAGAGTGACCCTACAAATGACAGATTTGATCACTGCACGGTCCTAGCCACTGCCACGTGCTGGAGCCCTCGTTACCTTGTGTCACTCTCTCTTGTGTGTTATTTAGTATGTATTCTTCTGCAACTTAATTTTGTCAAATCCTGCATATTGATGCATGAAACTCTGGTTTGTTCATGCGCCTTGATTATTAGATTCCATTATATGGAGTACTTCGTTTTTCCTTGCAGCTTCTTTACACTGGTTTTGGGGTTTTTTGTTTTCTTTTTATTATTTTTGTGAGTGTACCGTCAAATCAGATCTGACTGGTACAGGAGGAGATTGTCCCTCCTTCTCCGGCAGAGCATCTGGTGGATTCGAACCGTGCGCCTCTGGGATTGTAGTTGCAGCTCCTTGCCACTAGGCCACCAGAGCTCCTAGTTTGGTTTTTTTTTTTTTTTATAAATTATTTTTGTGATCTAATGAAAGTTTACAAAGCAAAATGGTTTTTCAGTCAGTCAGTCATACACATTTTATGACCTCAATTTTAACATTCACACTTTTTTTTAAAATACTGGTTTACTTACACAGTTTTTATACATTGTTTCTCACACTAGAACTCCTCCCACTTCCTCTGTGTTTGCCTCTGTCCTATCCCTTCTTGCTTTCTGACCATTATCCCTGGGCAGATGCTATCCTTTTAATGTGGTTGATCAGTCTAAGGAGTAACTGTATCCATTGTATTAATTTTATAAGCCTGTTGTAAAAAAAGTCAATCCTGCCTGGGGAAGTTGCTTCTGACCTCCATTAATTCCGCAGAGGGGTTATCAGTTCCCACCCACTGCATCCACAGCACAGAACCTATTTCCATGAGGCCAGATAAGCCCTACAATCCACAGACCTACCCATACTAGCATCAGCCATCCTTCCAGAAGTCTTAATGCTCTGCTTACTGCTCTGTCTCATATTCCATTGCAGTGGCCACAAATAACTTAGAACTGTCCTTACAGTTAATGGAGTTTATTAAGGAACTTAAGAGGTTACAGTTCACTTTGGAAACAGGTCAGGACGGCATTTCATGAATGCAGACGCTTTGACTTTAAGCCTCAGGTCTTTTAGGTCAGTGTTACAAAACTCTCCTAGTCCTGCAAATTATGGCATCTCTCTCCCCACCCTTCCCGCAGGGCTCCAGCAATCTAGGGTGAGAGCCCCTGGTTCTGGAATTGTGTCTTAGGAGTCCTAGCACTGCTCCGTCTCATGCTGGTTCCTTGTTCTTTGTGGCTGCTGCTGCTGAGCCTGCTGCTGATCTTGCCTCTGGTCTGTCTCTGTCTTGCCCAGGAATCACTGACCTCAAAAACATTTTTAATTTTAATATGATTGAATTAACACGTTGCCGCACACTTTTAAATTGATGACCATGCTTAGGAACACATTTTTTTTTTAGAAACACAAACTGTCATTTGTGGCAATGTGTTAATAAAATTTTTCCATTTTGGATTTGCTTTTTTTGGGTGCTTCTCTACTTCATCAGGCATTCATTTTTCTGTATTATGTGTTGTAGAGAACCCACTAATTTTTCTAGTCAGTTATCCCAACATTATTGATAGTCTTTTTTTTTTTCCTGATGAGTTGCCATAACTTAAGTTTCAGTATATACTTTGATCCATTTCCGAGCACACTTTTGTTCCACCATTTCATTTCCCCTCTATTTTTTTTTAAAACCACATTATTTTTATTTACTATTAATTTGTGATAACTCTTGGACTCTCACACATCCTACATACATTTTTTTCCACATCCAAATTGTCTTGACCAAGTAGAAAATTTGAAAGAGGAAAATTTGAGTGTGAGCTAAGTATTAGATACTGTTGTTAGGTGCCATTGAGTCAGTTTTGATTCTTAGTAACCTTCTGTACAATACCGCAGAACACTGCCTGGTTCTGCACCATCCCCTCAATCATTACTTTGAATTCATTCTTGTAGCCACTGTTATCAGTCCATCTTGTTGAGGGCTTGTTGTTTTTCACTTACTCTCCACTTCACCAAGCATAATATCCATGCCCAGGGACTGGCCCCTCTGGATAACATGTTCAAAGTATGTGAGATGAAGTCTAGTCATCTTCGCTTCTAAGGAACATTTGTCTCATACTTCTTCCAAACCAGATTTGCTTGTTCTGGCAGTCCATTGAAAGGCATCACTTCTCCTCTCTTCATTATTCCAGCTTTTGTATGCATATTGATTTCAGTCAGGTATCCCTTAGTCCTCAGACCTCTTTACTCTTTTATCACTTGAAAGAGATCTTTTGTACCTGATTTGCCCAAGGCAGTATATATAATTTGATTTCTTGACTGCTGCTACACTTCTGTGACTGTTGCTTATGGATTCAAGTACAATGAAATCCATGGTAACTTCTTTCTTTTCTCCGTTTATCATGATGCTGCTTATTGGTCCATTTTGAGAATTTTTGTTTTATGTTGAGATGTAAGGAGTGAAGAGATCCATGTAAAAGTTCCAGGTACTTTATTTTCGGCAAGCAGATTGTGTTACCAGTGTGTTATAGGTTGTCAGTAATGATACCATGACATTAGTGATAATTTTGTGAAAATGGCATAGTGGTAGTGTAAGGAAATGTTTATTGGTTTTCTTTATGCTCACTTAATTATGTAGGGGCTAAGGACTTGTAATTTGCTTTTGTACTTTAGCCAAAAGAAGGGAGAAGATGAATGAAGTTAAGAATTGTAAAATAATGGTAAAAAAATAAAAAAAAAAAAAACAGTGATAATATTGAATCTACGTAAGGAAGTATGTGGTTTCATGAAACTAATCTCCTCCCTATGTTGGGAATAATAAGTAATTAAGTTGTTAATTATATAAAAAAAATTATGTATTCTTAACCAATTACTTTGTTTTTCAACTCCTTCAGCTTAAGAAACACTGAGCGAGTCCGGCCCTTTTGATTTTCTGACTACAGCTTTCTGCACATTTCATTATAGTATCTTGCTTTGTTGTCCCGAGCTGCCTTTTGAAATTTTCTATTCAGCTCTTTGATTTCTTCCTTTAGCTTTGGCTTCTCAGCACTCAGTGCAATACTCAGAGTCTCCTCTGACATCCATCTTGGATCATCAGTCTTTCTTCTGAAGGCCCAGGGATTTTCTGTAAACTTTCTAA